GGGAACTCAGACGGCTGAAAGATGGCCATGGAAGGGCGAACGTCTAGCTCCAGAACACTTTTGAAAAGGGAAATATACCCAAATTTCTGAGAAAATAAAATGGCCTGAAGGGTGGACTTTCAGTCACCAGGTAATTGGAGCAGTTTGTATAACTTGAGAAGGAAAGAACTATACCAAAGGGGTGGGACATGCCCCCTGTGAATCTACCTTAATTGTAAATTCAGATAATAGAACTATGACCTGGTAGTCAAACAGAACAGATGGGTATTGGAGAACAACAAAGAGAAACTATTGCAAGTGACAATCAAATTAATATGTGCTGGTATAATAGTTCTGTAGCTGGCCCTTACCATTCCATAGAAAATACAGATACCAACTGGAATCAACCAGACAATATAAGTAGAACATGGACGGCCCCTGATGGGCTATATTGGATTTGTGGACAGTGAGTGTGCAGTCAGTTACCCCAGAGATGGAAAGGGACCTGTAGGTTAGGAGTTGTCCAACCCTCCTCCTGCACCCTGCCCTGGTCCAAGGGAAATCCACTGGAGAAAGCCCCACTTGATAAAGCCATGGGCAATAACAAGGCAAACCTAAACCTTTTGATTAGGGGCAGCTGTAAATGGAGTGAAAATGAATGGCACACAGAAAGGATCATAAACTTTTATGATCTGGCTATTTGGGCTCAAAACAGATCTGGAGGATATAGAACTCCAAACAATAAGTTATATCATTTGATAAGACTGCAAAAGGTAATTGAGGTTGGTTGTAACAAAACAGCTACCCAACAAAGCATGCACCTGCTAGTAACAGTCTATCAGAGCAGACTGGCCTTGGACTATCTAATGGCTGAAAAAGGAGGAGTTTGTGAAAAATATAACACATTAAAATGCTGTCTGAAACAAAAAAAAATATGGAAAAGTGTTGATCAAAGAAGCTAATTGTACCTGTTAAAAGTTAGAACCCCTTTGGGGAAATCTGGTGGCTTAAACTAGCTGGACTCATTATTGGAATTGTTGCCTAGACTATTTTTTATCTCCTGTGTTATGTAAGTGGAAATACCACATATTAAATTTAATCAAAAAGAGAAATGAGGGAATGTGAAAACCTGGATTTTTGGGGATGTAGATGATACTGAGATTCAGTCTTTTAATAGAAAGCATGAATCAATATGATCAAAAGAGAAAATGGGAGAAGTTGTGCTAAATGAATATGGTTCGTGCTAACAATTGTAACCATATCAATATTTTAGAAAATATTTGTTAAAAAGTAATAGAGGAAAAGGATATGTTATTACTGTCATGAAACAGATGTTTTCAGATGTTCATGAGAAAGTAGGATACAGGATGGACTATTGAGATAAACAATATCCTAAAACAGAATTGGTCTTGGGATGAGCAAAGCTGGGACGATTCCAAGTATGGAATCTGAAATACCAGTCTTATCTATGAAATAATAACGCGTAGATGGAACGTAATGGTGACTTATATAGCAAAAAGCTTAATGCACAAGCCCAACCTGCCAGGTTATTCAGAGGGCAGCGAGGAAGACAGTGAGCCTTCCTCTGAAGAGAACCCCGAAAAGCCAAAAGACCCCTCAGCAACAGGCGGAGCATGCACTGTGCAGTGCAGTGACATAGATTTCAATAACCAAAAAGAGGAAAGGATTTACAGGAAATTACAAGTATGTGTTAGCATACAGTATATAAGTTGTGTTTGGATCCTTTTGCCTTTTGTACGTGAGGCAGGACGAGAAAAACCCTCCCTGTACCCTGATCAATTGGTTTTGCTTATGCTTTATCCGAACCACTGCCAAATTATTTTATATTTGCTTGATTATATTTGACTATATAATTTATATAAAATTGCTGCTTGATTAAAATTGGTGCTAAATTCTAATTTTGTCGTTTATTAAATTAGACATATAGGGACCTCATTTATAACAGCGTAGTCACTTTCATTTTATTCTCTGTGAGAGGACACAAAGTTGGCAAAGCTTTGGTAAGATTCTGATCCTCCCTCCTCTCCCAGAAAAACCCAAGTCTTACAGTGCACTGTGCAGTGGTTTTGGTGCTGATCAATCACTAGTGCACTCATTGCCTACTGTGAGATAAGGTTAGGACAAAGTTAAAGCAGGCTTAAAGCTTTAAAACGGTATAAAGAAAATTTTATTAATAGTAATTAAAAAAAATAGCAAGAATTAAAGCAAACCTTGTAGAAAACTTCTAAAACTTCTCCTCCTCCCACAACGTTTTCTTTTACACTGACAATGTAAAGAAACAAAACCGAAAATTTCCACTTAGTTTACTACCTCTAAAATAGTCTTTCTTCAGTTCATTTAGGGAGAGAAGTCCCTCTTGGTAATGTTATGGAGACATCTCAATGACAGGAAAGAGTTTTCTCCTGGTTCCTAATTTGGTCAGAAATCGCAGTTGCCGGGGAGAAATTCACCATGAAGTTTCTGTCATTTTCTACATCCTTCCTACAGATCACTGGGCTCTCTCAGGGTCCAGAAGCCACTTTTCCTTTTGGATGGATGGCCTGAAGGCACCCAGGTGCTGCAGGCTGGGACTGCCTCAGAAATCCCTTTGGCTTGGAAGGATCCTTCTACCTGAGAGCTGAATGGGCTGTGCCAACCCCAGAGCGAGAGGGACTCAAGGCAACAGAATTAAAGGCTGGTGAGAGAACCCAAAGAATAGACTGTAACATGCAGAGCAGGTGAGAGAGAACCAAAGACTGAAGATATCTGAAAAGTGGAGTCAAGCTTCCACCAGCTTGAAGATTGTTTAACTAACACTTTGGGCAGGGAGTTTGAACTTTATCATTTATTGATGTAATTGTCCTGTTTAATAGATGAAAATCACAAGCATCTGTTGAGGGGAAGCACACAGGGAACCATCAGAGGTGTTGGGGCAGTTCCCTAAGGACCAACAAGCAGAGTGAAACAAGAAATAGAGGGCAAGACCAGGTTGGCCGCTGTGTTCAACACCGAGAAGATTCCATAGCTCTGCTGTGGGCAGCAATCCCATAGGCATGGCAAGGTGGGGGCAAGAAAGGCACCCCAGGCCTCTGTCACTGCTCAGCTGTCTTTTAATACAACAGGAATCAGAAGGCAAGACTGAGTTGGCCTCTGTACTCACCACTAAGAGCCACCTGCTATGAGTAGCAGCGACATGGGCACGGTAGATGGGAGTAAAAAAGGCACATCAGACCTTAGTCATCCCATTTTGTCCATTCCAAATAAGTGTGGCAAAGAAAAGCTGAGATTTTTTTCCTTCTGTTCCCACTCTCCTTGCCCACATCAACAAATACAAGTATAAATCATTAAATTTTTTTTCTTGTGAAGAGTTGATTATCTCAGTTGAAAATGAGAGTTAATTGTTTGAGCCGAAAGCTCATAGGAATGGAAAAGTGTGCTTTGTTATAGATGAATGATGTAGGTGTTGGGTCTCACAATTAAGAGACAGATATTACACGTACATTAAGAGAAGTTTGGTAGATGATTAGTGCTGCTACTGTTATGTATCTCCCCACAGTCCCCTTTCCCTCCCCCTTGCAGCAGCCTCAGTTCCCAGGGCATTTGGGGAGGGCCGGCTCATTACCAGGAGGGGCCACAGGACAACACCTGAGCTCCAATCAAGGTGGAGGAAGTGATCTCCACCTGTGGAGGGCAGAGAAGGAGCTGACTGACAAAACTCTGGGAGGGGCTGAGGGTATAAAAGGCAGAGCATCCATTTTGTAAATGGGCACAGGGCTGCTTGTGTTCCAAAGCACCCCCAGAGCCTTAATTTTTCCTTATTTCCTCTGTTGTATTTTTTTTAAGGTTAAAAAACCTTTAAGATCTTAAAAGTGAGGGTTGTTTCTTACATCTTCCAAGGACAGTCCAGAAGTGTCACCTTCAGGACAGTTTGTGATGATTTCTGGGAGCCCAGGGTGATTTGGATTTCCCATTTGAGCTTGTTGTACAATGTTAGAAATAACAAATATAGGTATTGGCTTTTGCATTTATGTACTAACTTTTGTTTTGCAAGTCAGTATTTGTGAAAAATCACTTGTTTTTAAAACTTTTAAAAGTTTAATCATGATAACATGGTTATAAAAACAGTAATACAATTACAGTAATAACAATTTGGACAACTTGAATTAGAACAATATGACATGACAAACACAAAGACTCAGGCATGACTGGGTACCTTTTTCTGGGCAGCACGAGTCTGAAAAAGGACACCTGTTAACAAAGGATTAACCCTTAAAAACAATAGCCTGTAGCATAGTCATACAACTCATACATGATGCATAAATTCCATTCAAACACAGGATTCCCTCTGGTCATCTTCAGCTTCTTCCTCTGAATCCTGACAGTGCCTTCGAGACAGCAAGAAGTTCATAATGAACAATGAATTCTTTTTCTCTGAAAGACTGAGATGTCCTGTGGCTGCTATCTCAGTGAAAGCCCTTTCTTTAAAAAAAGAACCTTGCATAGCATAGTTTGTATTTAACAATTTAGTCATAACCTAAAATTAAATTCAACACAAAACTTAAGAGAACATATGTACATTAAAGCTTTAAAACAAGATATATAATATTACATTACACCAAGAGAAAGGTAAAACAGACATGTACCAGTGTACATGTATTTAGACCAGTGGAGATACATCTGTCACCTAAAACAGACTTCAAAATTACATAGGGCCAGCCACATGCAAGAATTTATACAATAATAACTTTGTAATTGATAAAGAACAATTTCTTAAAAACAGTATCCCACATATAATGCGGGCAATGCACTCACTGCAGGCAGCATCGGTGCCAGGATGGATTGCAGAGACTTTTCCTTTGCAGCCCCAGCCCAGCGCTGGCACTGGGGATGCAGAGGCACTGAGGTGACCCTGAGAGGAAGTGCAAGGCACAGGGCGCAGCTGAGGAAGGACAGCGCTGTGCTGGGCTCAGAGGTGAAGCTGGCACTGCCCAGCGTGGAGAAGGTTCTTTGTGCAGCCCCTGCTACAGGGGAGCTTGGGCCTTGCTGCAGACATACGGCCGCTCACTGGAGCAGTTGTCACCAATCAATCTCCTGTCAGCCAGGTACACACACTGGGAATTGCCGAGGACAGGAGCCCTGCAGGGAGGAGCAGAGGCAGCGCTGGCTGCCAGGGGAAGCCCTTGTGCCCCTGTGCCCGCAGGCCCTGCCCGGCTCCCCGGCACTCACCGGGAGCTGTAGCTGCTGCCGTCCCCCCAGTGCAGGCGCTCGCCCCGTCTGCGCAGCCCGAGCCAGAAATCGCCGTTCCCGCGGAGGCGGGAGAGCAAATCCTGCCCAGGAGAGAGGAGTGGGAGCTGCCCCGGCCCCTCGGGGGGACACGTGCCCGGGGCTGCCCCCGCACGCCGGGGCTCCTTCCCTGCAAGGCCCCGGCCCAGGGCTGCAGCCCCGGCCCTGCGAGCACCGAGCCCGGCACAGGAGCGCCCCCAGGCTGCCCTCAGCCACCCCACACCGCCCGCAGCCCCTCACTCACCATGGCCTCCTCATCCTGGGCAATGGCCAGGGAGGCATTGAGCTCGGAGCACCGTTCCTGACCCTGCTCCCACGTGCTGTAATCCCGTGAGAAGTAGTAGCAGATCCCATTGTAGCCAATCCAGCCATGGGGACAGCCCAGAACCAACAGCGGAGTCGCAGGTGTGACTGGAACCTGTGGTGCTGCAGGGGGAAGAGGAGAAGCTCTGAGGATTCCCCTGTGCAGGGAGCAGGGAGCCCGCTCTGCCCCGAGGGGCTGGGCCCAGGCTGCTGCCCCTCCCTTACCTGCCAGCACAGCCAAGGCCGCCCCCAAAGCCAGCACCAGCACCAGGAGCAGCAGAATCAGCACCGCCGTGCCCACGGGATGGCACCTGAACCATTCACCTGGAGCAGGAAAGAGCTGCTGGCTGCCAGAAGCAGAGCCGGCCCTGAAATCTGCTCAGCCCACGGCCAGGGAGCAGAGCAGGGAGCCCTGAGGCAGTGTGGGCCTTCCTCAGCTGGCAGCCAGAGAGCCAAGAGCCTGGCCACAGGCAGGGACACAGCTGTGGGCACAGGCTGCAGCAGGAGAACTGCACAGCCTTGGGGGCAGCTGGGGCTCTTGCTTCCAGCCACGGATGGGGCCCAGCAGAGCACGAGGCCTCTTCCAGACATCGGGAAACAGCCACACACCTGCCAGCCCTGGCCTTGGGAGGGGACACGGGCCCCTGCCTAGAGCCCACAGAGGTGGCTCTGCATTCACCCAGGAATCTTCTGAGGCTCCTTTTGTGTTCATTGTTGGTTGCTGCTGTGTCCTGGGGAGCCAGGGGCTCCCTCACACTCCCATCCCTGGTGCAGAATCCATTCTCCACATCTGCACTCACTGCACACTCACAAGTGCCATCCCCCTGCTTATGCCAAGAGGCTTCTTGGGCCCCAGGCAAGTGTGGAACCGCGGCTGCTGTTCCCTCCTAGAGATGCCGGGACTCATTGGCAACTCCACCCGTGGAGAGGAGTTCACTCTTCTGCTCACAGGCGCCATCTCTCTAGACAGAAGAAACAGTACCTTGCTTTGGAGACATCAGGAGTGCTGCTGGCAGATCCTTTGGGAGCTCGGCCTCGGGAACAGCTTCCAGCCGCGCTGATGGCACCCTGAAAGGGACACGGTGAGAGGTCGCTGCTGGTGCCGGCCGTGCGGGGGCTCAGGAGGGCGGTGGCAGCTGTGGCTGCGCTGTCGCCGCTGCCCAGAGGTGCGGCAGCAGGTGCGGAGACAAGCGCAGCCCCCGGCAGCTCTGCGGTGGCCGCAGCCGCGGCCCCTGTGGCTCTGCAGCCGCTGCAGCCCAGCTCCGTGCCGGGCCGGGCGCTGAGAGCGCCTGCGAGCTGCCGGCTGCTGCTGGCCCGGGGCAGCTGCGGCTCGGAGTCCGCCTGCCGAGGGGCGAGAAGCAGCAGCCCCGGGCTGCTCACCATTGTGCCCCGCATGATTCCCTGCCCCGGCGCCTCGGAGCCCGGGCACACCGAGCGCCGGCACGGCCGCTGCAGCTCCTGCCTGGGCACACGGAGCGGCTCCCGGCACAGAGCGCAAAAATGACCAGGTAATTTTGGCTTTTGCATTTTTGCATGAGCCTATGCACGTTGTTAGTGAGTATAATGATTTAGATATAGTATAGATTCTAACTCTTTTTAGCTTCATGTTAGTATAATATAATCTATCATCTTAAGTAGACACCATATTGCCCATAGAAATTGTAATGTTATGAATATAGTGTCTATGTATCACCTATGGACATGATAGTGTGATGAATGTACTGTGTTATAGACCTGAGGAAAACAATGTGAAAAAGACTTTTTTGTGACTAAAAACAGTGTAAGGCCATCCACTGACCAATCTGTCCAAGAGATAAAATAACGGTGACAGAAACCAGAGCACCAGAGAACAATTAGAGACTACTATGTTAAAATTAAAGAGAACATACTAAAATCTTATCCAGAGGATGTGAAACAGCTGGATGGAGACACAAGAAGAAATAAAATATATGGATGGGACACTCAGGATGTTATACAGATAAGAGTGTGAAGAAGGCAGAGAAAGAAGATATGAAAATATCAGAAAGTTCAAAAAATATTCTGAATAATACATTAAATACCATTAAATATTTGTACTTCAGCGAGGTAACAGAATAAATAGAACATTGTCTGTTTACCCCGGTGTGTTCTTTCACTGTTGACCAGGAGCACCCAGTGCTCTAAGTATTATTCCCTTTTATATCCCATTACTATTATGACCATTACTATTATTGACCTTTCAAAAACACTAAGCAGTGAATTCCATTTTCCTCACCTGTCGAGGGGAGGACCCGGCACAAGGAATTCACCAGTACCCCCGACCGCCCCCCACCGCAGCCCCCTCCGCCCGCGGCGAGGCACAACCGAGCGCGGGTCTCACCTGGGCTGGAGCCGCCTCCGAGCCCCGGGCGGGTCCCAGCTCGGCTCTCCCCGCTCGGCTTTGCCCTCGCTGCCGCCGCCGCTTTCCCCGCTCCCGGGGCTCGGCTCTGCCCGGCGGCTCCGCTTGGCCCCGGGCGAACTCACTGCCCCCCGTGGCTCCCCAGCCCTGCGGCGGGGCGAACCCCCGGCATTTGCCGAAGGGCTCTGCGTGCCCCTGGGCACTGAAGCCTCACGGAACGTGTCCTAGAATGCCGTAATCATGTGCTGAAATGCTGCTTTAAAGTTAGTCTTGTGTTTTTCGTGAACTCTGATTTCTCTGAGAATTGTTACTGGAGAGATTCAAAGTGGTAAATCCAGTGCCTCATTATTTTTATCATGTGCAGCACAACAGAATCGAATTTCTTTAACAGAATGGTGATATGCTATTACACTAAATACTATCTGGAGAAGCTCCCGGTTTTTTGCACACTTTGCCAAATTCTACATTGCTGTTTCTTTCAGTGCAATTGCACTTTATAAGGTCTTAGTAAATTTATGATTCCATAAAATTTGTGGCTACCATGAGTTTTTCTCAATGTTAAATTACATAGGGTCAAAGTGTTTGTCACACTTTTCTAATCCCTCCAGTAAATCCATCAGGCCGTTATTGCAACCATTCTTATTTCATTTTCAGTGCGTTTTGGTAGTAATAGCATCAGAATAAGTCACATTTTGTAGTACTCAGAACTTCTAAGAATACTGATTGTTAGTTCGGTTCTGTTTTATTTGAATACGATTTTAGTGTTAGTAAGATTAAGCACAGTTAGATCTGAGCAATGTTAAGTGTTCCCAGGATCTCTCCCAGTGCTGCCAGCGGCAAAGCCCTGGGGGCACAGCGTGCTCTGCTCTTGCAGAGGCGAGACTGGAGCTGTCAGGAGAGCAAACCCGGCTGGGAAAGCGTTCCCTGCACAGGAAGGTGTCTCCCCTCTCTGACCACAGACGGAGCTCAGCCTCCGCTCTTGACTCCAAACCCTTGGAGCTCCGAGCCCGACTGCCCGAAATTGGCTCGGCCCCACTGCCCAGCGCACTGCTCAGAGCTCACACGGCTGAGGGGGCAGCGCAGATTGAATAATGAACGCTGCTGGGCACGGCTTTAGCTCTGAACTGCACACTGTCACACGGGAACAAAACCCTTAACGAGGATGGGTTCCTCTTGCTGGCACAAGGAGAGAAGCAGAAATCTGACAGGAATATTCTTCATCATTCTACCCAGGCTCTGTCAAACCCTCCAGCTCCTGCACCTCGGGAAATAACAAGTGGCTTCTAAGCAGTGACTTTGATGTCAGTGAACAGGTTATTATGGATTAATCTCACACTGGAAAGCAGCCTTCACACCCTACTGCTCTTGGCATCACCCAAAGAGTTTGGAGGCTGCTGCCCAGGGAGCTCCTGAGTGGCATATTCCTTGTCAATCTTATCAGCCCCTTGTTTAATTGTAAAAACATAAATAAAATGCAGGGAGCATTGGCCCAGGGTCTCAGGACTTGCATATCTCTTCCAAAGAAAGGGAAAAAAGAGTGTTTGTCCCAAACCATACAGTTAAAAAGTTTTTCTTACCTACAAGTATTTTTAAAAGGAAAAGAGGAAGAGTAAAATATCAATTATTGTACCAGTGGTGCTCCAACCTATTACTGTTCTCCTCTTTTCCATATAGCATCTCCAAAAATACTAAAAAAAACCCCAAAAAAACAAAAACAAAAAAAAAAAAAACAACAAACCAAAACAAAAAAAAAAACCCACAAAAAAAACCCCACAAAACCAAAAACACCCATTGAATTTAAGGTGAATGAGAAGCAATCTGGCTGCAGGCTTGTGGCACTCCAGTGCCCGAGTTCCAGAAGGCAGAAAAACAAGGATCCAACACAGCCTCAAGTGGGGATAGGGTTATCAAGGGTATAAGGAAAGAGCAAGATCTGGGAAACAGGACTTGGAAGGTGAGAAAGCAAGGAAATAAGGAGCAATCTGAGGCCGATTTAAATTTGAAAAGAGGAAATAAGGGAGGAGGAGGAAAGAAAAGGCTGGCACTAAATTCCAACCCAGACGGCAAGGCCGCTGCGGCTCCTGCCTGGGCACACGGAGCGGCTCCCGGCACAGAGCGCAGCCCGAGAAGCCTCGGCCCCGGAGCAGGCTGCATGCGCCGCTGGGTGCCCGCACCCGGCGCCTGCAGCGCTTTGGGCTCTGAGGCACGTTCAAGTTCAGCCTGTCTGCCATGGTTTAGAACGGGAGGAAATTCAGAGAACTAATATAAATCTTTTTGTGTAACTGACGTTCTGTGGAACCACAGAGAAGCTAGACACGGCTCCGTGAAACACACATGGTAAACACGAAAAAGCCCAGGAACTCTCTCTTGCCTTTCCGGTCGTTGAGGAGGTGTCGGGCCCCTGTCCCGCTTCCGGGCTCCTTTCCCGGGCTGCCTGCCCGCCCGCCCCATCAGCCCCGGTCTGTTCTGGCCGGGCCGGCTCCAGCAGGTGCCAGGCAGGAAGGGGGGGTGGCTGCCGAACCCTGGGCGGAGCAGCGCTGCCCGCCGCTGTGGAGACTTTGCCGCCAGGCCCCCCGACAGCAGAGACCCCTGCAGCCCGCGCAGAAAACCCGACGCCACCCATGAGGCCGATCCCGACACAGCCCAGCCGCAGCTCCCGCCGCACGTCACCGATATAAAAGAACAACATTAAAACATCATCGTCAGAGAAAAGTACCAGTTGGGAGGGAGGAGGAAATGCCTTACTTTTCGAGCTAAAATACTCTTATAAGCAAGCTATAAAGAAAAAAACTCTTTTTCCTTGTAATACATAAAACTATAGAAAATAAGTGTTCAAATTAATATCAAACATATGCCTCCATGCTAAGATAAGCAAATTGTAAAACAATTGTAGTCCCATAAAAAGTTTAAACAGAAGAGTAATGCTGCACTTCCAAAAAGAAAAGAAGCAAATCTCTATTCCCAGAAATAAAGAAAATTTTAAAAATAAAAACTTTTACCTTTTGACAACTCATCTTTAAAACGATACCCCATAAGTCAACGTAACCCACCAATAAGCTGTGGGAAGGCTTGTAAAAAAAAAAAATCACAATAGCAAAGTTCCCCGGGTGACTGCTATTCATAACAAAATTTAAAAACACAAAAAGCTGCTTTTTCTTCTCATAGAAAAGTCTCCATAAAGGTAACAAAAAACTTCTCTCCCTAATTAAACTGAAAAAAATATACATGTAAAAACAGTGAACAGACTGAAATCGAAAGTTAGGGATTTTTACATTATCAGTTTAAAAAAAAGTTCTGGGGGGAGAACTATTCTAAAGAGCTTATTTTAATTTTTCCTACTTTCCTCCTCCTTCTAGTTACTTTTAATAATGTTCTCTTTATACCCTTTTAAGGTTTTAAACCTACTTTACCTTTCTCCTGATACTATCTCACAACAAAAAAGGTGTGTTTATAATTAACCAATACCAAACCCACCACAGTCATTAATACATTAACCAGAAAAATCTCAAACTTAAAAAAAAAATCTTAAATTAGCAAATCAAACCGCTACGCAAAATCAGTACCTTCACACCTACAGTAAC